GCTTTGGTCATAGGGACTTTGACCATAGGATGTTTGAACACAGGTGTTTTCTCAGCAGAGGGTCTTTGATCCCAGGTGGTTTGTCCAATGCGGGCGTTTGATAGCAAGCGATTTGTCCATATATGGTACGGATTAATTTAAAAAATTGGAATCAAATACACACGATTGGCGATGGTGTAGCACGAACAAATAACATTTTTGAAGGATGGCATTACAGTCTTCTGTCTCTCCTCCAATGTAGTCACCCAACAATGTGGCGTTTTCTTGAAGGTGTACACATGGACTACACACGACAAAAGACAACTTTCTTGCAAGGTGTCGCAAGAGCAAGCTACCCAGCTGAGAAGCAATACAGAATGCTGCACGAAAAATTACAACGTGCTGTTCAGACATATGTTCAAACAGATGTACTGACATATTTGCGTGCTATAGCACATCTATAATACAAGTATTACTTCTTTGATTATGCTGTTGAAATGCTTTTTTATCCTTAATGAATGCTACGTATTTTCAGGTACATCTTTATTATTTATTTGTGAAACTTTTTGTCTCATTATTTGTGTTTAAATTATACTTTAAATAAATCTATAAGGCCTAGCACCAGCCTTAATGTTGAGACTAAAATATCGTTATTGACTTTTTTTAGTCCATAATAATTTCAATTAATTTACTCTCAGGAAACATGTACAAAATCACATGAATAGTATCATAAATTTTAAATCAAATAACAGTTTATAATTTTTATTTTAAAAAAATATATATATTATGGTTAACCCCCCTCTGTGGTCAAAGCCCCCTATGTTCAAAGCCCATATGTGGTCAAAGCCCTGCTTTGGACAGGGACCCTATGGTCAAACCCTCTATGGTCTTTTTTTTTTTACTTTCTTTTGTGTCTTTATTTTTTGTTATTTGTTTTTTATAAGATGTTTCTTTTATGACTGCTTTTGTGTGACATTTTTCCTTTTGACTTTTTATCCACTCGTCAAAGTTTTAAGTGCCACCCTGTAGCAAATAAACTGAAAGTAACACTACCCTGTGTATGCGGGCATCATAATAAAACGCATCAACCAGTCAACGTCTTTGAGTTTTTTAGACCATGTTTTTTTTACTTACTAGCCGTTTTTGTCTAGGTTTTTCTCTGGTAATTTAAAACTATAGCCACATGTAAATCTTAACGAAGTCGTGTGTATGTTTACGAAATGTTTAAAAATAAAATAAAATACGGAACATTGCACAATGCACAGCAAAACCACGAGATTCTTAGAATGAACCTACACATCCCCTGCCATTTCTCAGTATCACAGTTAGTAACACTAAGCATAAGATTCAAGTCATTACACTATACAAAAATAAAAATTTTGCAATAGTATCATGTAACAGGATATGGCATTCTACACCGTAATATCAAATATATATATATATATACTAGCTTATACCCGTGCTTCGCTACGGCGCGGATAGTGCTACACCTTGTGGTGTATATGGATATTCACGAAAATTAAGCTAGGGTAAAATAAACCGGGAGTGATCTCCCCTAAACTTTCTCGAATATTCTTATATAAAATAACAGGGGATGGGAACTCGGGCTATAAACATGATTTTTAATCCATTTTAAATACTTAAAGTTTTAAAAATAGAATAAAATCTCGTAGACAAATTAATTGCACACCAAGTGAACGCGAAATAAAAAAGCGCATAATAGTGCGCAATATTATTAGTACTTTTAAAATTTACATTAGTTTTTTGAGAAATCGGAAGTAGCGTAAAGTACTACTTCCAGTCAACGGAAATGACTCAAAATTTAATAGAAGGTAGAGAATTAGATCTTTTACTTACGTATGAAATTTCATTTATCTATCTGAAATAGTACTCAAGTTATAGGCTTTTGAAAAATTCAAAGTAGGAAAAGTACCACTTTCGGTTATCGGAAATCGCTCAAAAGTTGATACGGATCTACGATTTTGATTAAATACTTATATATGAAATTTCATCAACCTAGCTGTAACGGTACTCAAGTTATCGTGTTTACACACGGACACACACACACACACACACAGACACACAGACATACGGACAAGATTGCAAAATTATGTTTTTCCGTATCAGTGAGATGCAAAACGTCGAGATTTGCAAAAATCTCGATTTTTTTTTTGCACGATTACAAGACTTTCTCTATACTTCGTATATACGAGAAAGTAAATATAATGGCGCAACGCTCTTACTGACGTCTGCTTATATATATATATATATATATATATATATATATATATATATATATATATATATATATATATATATATATATATATACATATATATATATATATATATGTATATATATATAGGCTATGTATATATTGTAAAAGAACAATACACACAAACAGCATATTCTATATCTACTACAAAAACAAAAGCCACAAGTGCAGTATTAAATATCTTAAAAAATGGTTTCTATTATGTCTTTCTGTCTTTCGGGAACGCTCATAACAAAACACAAGGAAATTTTAAAGATGCATGGTGAAAGACCACGACATCACATGGAACCTATAGGAATTTTTCAAGACGAACGAAATATGTACAGTTCTAAAGCAGAAAAAGTACACAGAATCAAATGTATATAGAAAATATATAATTTATAAAGGAAATATATACCTTTACCAGTGTCAGCTCTCTTCCCCAGGATAATTCAATTGGCCCCTCGCGAATGTTTCAAGTTTCCCTCCGCCCCCCCCCCCCCCCCCCTCCGCCCCCACCCCCCGGCGAGAAAAAACGTCTGAAACTTTCTGCATGATTAAGGTTTAGCGGCCAAAAGTAGGAAACGGGTTTAGATATAGGTTGTTTCTTTCAGGGTTTTTTTTCTATCCGTTGAGTGGGGGGGGGGGGGGGGGGGCTGAAATTTTCAAGCGACTATGCCTAGTGACTCACTGTATGTCCAGTGACTATATAATCAGTGACTTTCTATAATGTATAAAATGATCATACGTGTTTAATAGGTGAATATTTCAAATGTCCCCTAGTAATCGGTACTTTAAAATGTTCCCTAGTGATCGGTACTCTGAAAAGTCCCCTAGTAGTTAGTACTCTAAAATGTTCCCTAGTAATCGGTACTCTAAAATGTTCACTAGTGATCAGTATTTTTTAAAATGTCCCATAGTAGTTAGTACTCTAAAATGTCCCCTAGTGATCAGTATTTTTTAAAATGTCCCATAGTAGTTAGTACTCTAAAATGTCCCCTAGTAATCGGTACTCTAAAATTCCTTCAGTTGTTGGAGCACGGTAATGTGTCCTCTGCTTTTAATTGTACAAAATGTCCATTGACTCTACGATGTGACCATCAATTCCTTTTCTTTGCTTACCTTGCGATATTAACAGTAATTCATTATCTTTAATTACCTTGTGATATTAACATTAATTCCTTATATTACTTACCTTGTGATATTTTCCGTCCCTTTGTTCCACATGAGTGGACATGCATTTGTTTATGTCGCTAAAGATATACCAACATAGCAACCATGACCCCCCCCCCCCCCGGCAGCGTGTTGTTCTTCTGCCTACCCGAGACACCTAGTAACGACTTACGTAGAATCCTGGTTCTAGCCATTGTTCTTGCACAACGGAGCCACCCGACCGGGGTTATATAACAGACCCGATCAGCACTAGACCTCAAGAACTGCCCAGACCGCCACTGGTTTACAAGAACTGCCCTGAAATCTCTCAAGCTTAGACTGAGGTCACACTCGTTATTTAAAAGGTAAGCTTTTTATTGTCAAATCTTGTATAATATATAACGTTAATTGAATGAAAAATAAAACTGTCATGTTTGTCTGAAATTTTTTTTTTTCAAATTACGATTTCCATAGATCATTAAAGAAAAAAAAATCTAGAAGGCAATTGAAATTACTTTTAGTTAATGGCTAATTATTTTATACCGATTTAAGTAAATTACCCGATTTTATTTCTGTAGGTAAGTTGATATAAGTATTTGAATGGAGTAAATCTGACTATAATCTGATATATAGGCATATATATATATATATATATATATATATATATATATATATATCTTTGCAGTTACATACACGTTAAAAAGATTTCGTATTTTATTTGATAAGTTCCTAAGCCTGTTATTAAATTGGACCCTTAAATAGTCTAGGTGTTGCATGTCAGTGCTAAATATTGATATTTAAAAAAAATATCTTTGTCAAAAAAAAAAGTTTGTTTATAGTTGTAGTGGAACTAGTACTCTGCATTCACCACATTCTGAAAAAAAAATATAAATAGAAAGTTAACAAATAGTTCTAGCGATAAAATGCCCAACACTGTTTAAACGATATGCTTTCGGGGCCCACCCATGAAACCAGGGGCATAAGTTTAATAAGCTTATACCTTAATACGGCGCTAATTATACCTCGATAAAGTATATCATATTTAAAACGTGCTTCGTATATCAACATAACACTACATACATTTACAAAATACCCCTCACAATTAAACAAGCAATACTTACACTTACAATACACCTCCTCAAATTACAAGTCTCTACTTACAGTTTAAAACACCACTTACAATTACAAACTGCTGTTTCATTCCACCAATTTATTTACAATACTAAAATCCACACAAAAAAGCAGTTTATTCAGTAATCAAACATCCATCGTTCGATATAGCACTTGTAATTAAAGTGCCTGAATACACAAGATGAAACCACAGGAATAATACTGCATTCATCTAGGCGGCCTCTCGAACATCTCATTAACCCCGATTATATAGCTCCACATTCACACCTTCAATCAGTGAGCGATCTCCAAAATCAAGGAAAATACTGTGATTGATCGCTTACACATTCACTTCCGTTGGTCAGTTATTCAACTCTCACACACGTTTCACTCCGAATACAATTCACCATATTACAGTCTGTTACACTCTACTTACAATTACAAATCTCTGCTTACAATTATTACAAAATACTACGTATAATACAAGACGTCTTTGTTTCTTTGAAACAGTTGCAGGTGATTGGCTAAGAAAATGACGGGAATCAAGTCATGCTTGTTGGTGATTGTTTTACTCGCCCTGTACAACGAGAATGTGACGTCTGCATCATGTACGTATAAGTATAAGCAGGCACAATATCATCCTAGTGCAGGGGTCGGCAACCTGCGGCTCGTGAGCCGCATGTGGCTCGTTTGTTGTCAGGATGCGGCTCACCAATTCCATAATAATTATATTTTTTTCTTTTCACAACTCATAAAATATTATACTGTAAAAACAACTTTAAACAAGAAAAAAATCACTAAGAATAGATCTAGGTGGAGTAGAGCGTATACTGACATCTGGCAGCTGCTTACCAGTTCCACAAATGTGCTGTGGCCAGCCCCGTGGCAGTGGTTCCATGCTTTTCACTACCGAAGTGCACAATTTTTGTTTTCCGAGTATTTTCAAAAGTAGCCTAATTGTTATTTTATTTAGAAGGCATTTTTTATGAGTCCGTGAGCATTAACTTCATTTGAGTGACATAGTTTTTTTTTCTAGTAATTAGCTTCTAAATTGGGTAGGGATAGTTGTATGGTTATATAATTTGATTTTATTATCCTAGCAGAGCTAGGTAAAATACTTTATTATGTTTTGTGCGAAACATGCATATAATAAATGGGTTTAAGTATGAAATAATATTTATTTTAAATTCATTTACCTAATCCTAATCAAATACCATAAAATTGACAACAAGTGTTAGTGGCTCTTTATAAACTGTGAGATTTTGTAAATTGTAACTTTTGGCTCTTTCGTCTCAAAAGGTTGCCGACCCCTGTCCTAGTGAACTAAACCCACGGTTATTTACCCCCCACCCTTACCCCCTACCCTCGGCGTTCCCTACAATCCTTAAATACCCCAAACTTCCTATCACCGATAAGCGAAATTAGGCGGGGTCGAGGTGGGGTGGGGGGGGGGGGGGTCTGTACCGATTGACACAAAACTGGGAATAGTGGTCGGTGTAGTTTGGTCGAAAAAGCTCATTGATGTTGAATCGAAAAGCCCAGAGTTCGAACCCCAGGACAGATGAGGCTTGATATCAGGGGACAGCAACTCTTCTAGGAGAGACAACTCCAAAATCAAACAACTGCTGCCTTGTAGCAGAGGCGTAGCGAGGGGGGACATATGTCCACGGGCGCCGACCTTAGGGGGTGGCTCAAAGTGGGTTGGAAAAACAAATTGAAAGTTTGAGGGGGGGGGGGTGCACATTGAAAGTTTGTCCCCGGACGCCGGGAAGGGTCGCTACGCCTCTGCCTTGTAGTTTGTTCTTGCTAGGGCACATGATATGGAGGAAGGTCCTTTAAGAAAAGCTGTCTGAGATTTGAGACAATGGGACATATAAAACCCAAAACAGTAAAGTGACACTACTACTAGAAACTATTTGAAATCAGATTCTATCGCGTTCATCATGTTTCTTCTAAACGATATATATCTACACTAAATGCGGTCAATCTCTGCTCAAAGATATGTTAATAATATGACGTAAATTTCATATTTTTTTATTCTGTGGAAAAATAAACTGCAAATTATGGCCCACAAAATAACCTTAAATAGTCAAAGTCGACTTACTTATGTAATATGTAATAATAGAAAAATTAAGTTGAGTGAATTCGAAATTTCGCAGTGTTATAATGGTAATACAATTTAACTAATTCGCTATATTGTATTATTAGAACTGCTAGGAAATGAATTTGAGTAAACTCGCAGGTTTGAAAATGAATATCAAAATATTGTTTTTATTATAGCAACAGCTGCAAGCTCAACAGATGCAAGCTCAACAGCTGCAAGCTCAACAGCTGCAAGCTCAACAGCTGCAAGCTCAACAGCTGCAAGCTCAACAGCTGCAAGCTCAACAGGTGCAGGCTCAACAGCCACAGGTACAACAGCCACAGGTACAACAACCACAGGTACAACAGCCACCAATACGACTGCTCACAGCTCAGCTATGACTCAGATGTCGAATGTTTTAATTCTCTCAGTTCTGCCCACTGTTGCCTTTCTGCTAACCACCATCAAGTTTTAGACGTAACACTTCTCTATTCCCACCTTTCTGACGTCACCAAGCTATACATGTAATACTTCTCTATTCCCACCTTTCTTACGTCGCCAAGCTATAGCAGCAACACTTCTCTATTCCCACCTTTCTGACGTCACCAAGCTATAGCAGCAACACTTCTCTATTCCCACCTTTCTGACGTCACCAAGCTATAGCAGCAACACTTCTCTATTCCCACCTTTCTGACGTCACCAAGCTATACCAGCAACACTTCTCTATTCCCACCTTTCTGACGTCACCAAGCTATAGCAGCAACACTTCTCTATTCCCACCTTTCTGACGTCACCAAGCTATAGCAGCAACACTTCTCTTTTCCCACCTTTCTGACGTCACCAAGCTATACCAGCAACACTTCTCTATTCCCACCTTTCTGACGTCACCAAGCTATAGCAGCAACACTTCTCTATTCCCACCTTTCTGACGTCACCAAGCTATAGCAGCAACACTTCTCTATTCTCACCTTTCTGACGTCACCAAGCTATAGCAGCAACACTTCTCTATTCTCACCTGTCTGACGTCACCAAGCTATACCTATAATACCTCTCTATTCCCACCTTTCCGATACACATTAACAAACTATACCTTCAAAACTTCTCTCTTCCCACTTTTCTGATACAAGTCACTTTAACAACTGAAACACGTGTCTACCTTTAATACTTTTAATATTAACCCTTGTTTGGTTGCTAATAATTTATTTTTAAAAATATGTTGCTATATTTTTATATTATCGTATTACTTTTTAACATAGTATTTTTAATGATGGTGTTTTAATTGAACATTTACCACTATTGCATTGGAGTAAATATTTCTGATATATGACTTCATACGTTTTGACACGAACCAGTCAGAAAGCTGACTGTCAACTTATGTTGTCTTTCTGTTCCTGAAGTAGTTCACTGCTTGATGACGGAGCAGATGAAGGCAATAGTGTCAAACAATTGTTTAGTAGTAAATGTTGCCAATTTATATACCATATTTTGATTTATTTTAATTCTAATGTGTGGAAATGTAATACATTGTTATACCTAAATCCCAAGTTGATACACGTATTGTAAGACGTCGAACGATATGAAACTCTAAACCAAACATTTAAAATCTCAAGCAAGTAATTGTGTTTGTTACTCTGATTAAACTTGCACATATGTATTTTTTTTTATTATTTTATTTTTTGGTTAATTACAATATGTAATAAAGACTATAAATAATATGCATTAAGATTTTGATTTGCACCAATCTTGATTTCGTAAAACAAAATTTTGTTTTTGAATTGCCTATCAAGTCCAAATGAATGTATTTTTAATAATGACATTTCAATCTTTTTCTTCTGTTTGTTTCTGCAGAAATAACAATAAAAATATTAACTGAAATTTATATATTTTTTTTTCATTTTCTTGTATCTAGTCGAACTTAGAGCGCTAATCAACATTGACGTAAACTATTTTAACGTCTACACTATTTTACACACTGTCAAATCGTCATAAGCTTTACGTAAAAGCTGCACTTTTTACGTACCTCTACCACGGGTATTGATAATGCAATACCCAAATTCTTTTTGGATGGTCTTAGACTGATGATTTACGAAACTAAAAAGACTACCAGAAAACAAAAACTCTTTGTGGACTCGAAGATTATGTCTGAATAATAAATAGCTATGTAAAAACAATAGAAATATACAAATGAAAGACCCAACTTACGATTTAAAGAATAACACACTGAAACTACTAACACTGGATAAGGTACCTAAGTAATCAACACAACCTACACGTTATCAAATTGAGACACAGAAAAATATCGAATGCACTGGAGCTAAGGGATAATTACTGCTTAATCTAGAAAATATAACGGCGTCGTACGTAGCTCTCTCTCCTGTGGATATATAGTGGGCTGCCTCGTGTCTGGACTCAGTAGTGAACACTATCACATGAGTGTGATGGAAAATTTCTTTAGTTTGAACAACAGTTAGCTCAAGGCCATTTAAAATCTATATATATAATTCTCTTCTTGGAGATGTTAGAAAACAAGCTGTAAGCGCGCCTTGCAGTCCCCTCTCTTCCTCTCTAGGAAGTCTGGTGAGCTGTGGTTCACGCTACATGTTTACAATCGTAGAGCCTGGTTTAGTGACGGCTATTAGGGGCAGATAATTTAATTTGAAACGATTTTTAACTTAGGGGAGGTAGCTAAGAGGAGGCTGCTTTTACGGGGGAGGGGAGAAGGTGAGGGGTTGGGGAAAGGAGGGGGGTTATCGTCCTTAACGACTTACTGATAGTGTTTTAAAGCAAATATTTTCAGTGACAGCGGTGGTACTGTCGAATTCACAAATTATAAATTACTGAAAAGTAGAAAATAAAACAACTAAATAAAAAAGAAGACCTAAGTAGGTCACAAGCTAGACATGTGGGTTACCACATTTCTCTCAACCATGTTACCAGCTACACATGTGGGTTACCACATTTCTCTCAACCATGTTACCAGCTACACATGTGGGTTACCACATTTCTCTCACCCATGTTACCAGCTACACATGTGGGTTACCACATTTCTCTCACCTATTTTACCAGCAACTAGATTCTCGGGTTACCACATTTCTCTCTTACATGTTCCCAACTAGGCCCTTGGGTTTCCACATTTCTCTCACCCATGTTACCGATGGTTTCTACATTTCTCTCACCCATGTTACCGTGGGTTACACCATTCTCTCCCATGCTACCAGCTAGACCCTTGGTGTTGCACCTAACTAATGACAGGCACAACCTTCGACATCCGTAATCTTGACGTTCGAGACAACTAGCTCGCGGTCTAGTTTTAGTTCATTCCCTGCAACTAACGTCTGCTAAACCGATGCACACTTCATTGACCAATAACACATTAGAATTTTGCAAAGCGGGGGGGGGGGGGGGGGGGGGGGTCAATACATGGGCACTAAAAAGAAATAAATGATTTTTTTGTAAAGAAGTTTTGGCCAAAGATCATGCAGAATTATGTGTTAGTATCGATTGGTTTTGTTAGAGTCATGTGACACAGGCAACATTATTTCATTGTTCTGTACTCTAACTGTCTGTACCTCCGAAAATAAAACGAAAACGGTAATCTCCTAATAATAGACACAAAATTCGTGACAAAGGCAAGCCAATGTGTTGCTATATTTAACATGGTTTTAAGAATCTCTTCCGGAACCAACAGTCATCCTTGAATTGGGAGATGAATAGCGATATTCTTTATTTTAAAATAAACAGCCACAAATTTGGGAATGTGATATTAAACAGTCAAAGTTTGAAAAGCGTGACGATAAAAAAATCAGGATTAAAGGTCTGAATGAAAGCGTGTGAATAAAATCTGATGTAAACATTTACTATGATTAGACCTGTTTAGAAAAAAGTATTTCAAAGAATCACACACACACACGCAAACGCATACACACACACACACACAAACACACACACAAATACACACCCACTATATCTCTAGTAAATAGCCTACATTTTGAAAACAAAATGTGATTCAGCCGTCTATCATTATTGTGAAGCACACCACCACTTAGTAGAGTTAATAGACTACGGCTAATTATGTACTTGTTCCACTCTTGTCGATCATTAAATAACAGAGTGAGAAAATTGTACAGTTCGTTGGTACGCCTTGGATGATTACACGTGTAAGAATTCAAAGCAAATTAATAACAATTATTTTAAAAATAAGTAAGTCACGAGTTATAGTAAAAAGAGATATCGTTCATCGTTTTAAAAATATCTTCCATTGTTTTCTTTCCACCTGGTAACAAAGTAGGCTAGTATGATAAATGGTAGTGTAGTATCCATCAATTACTGAGATCCGGGCTTTTGATCTAGTGGATAAAATAAAGATTGTTTATACAAATGATAGTGTGCTTTGTTTCTATAGATTCTGTTAATAGCTTCTAATTTTATGACAAAATGATTCATCACACTCATAAATACGACACATTTATCTAACATAATGAGTCACAGATAAGGTATATATGTATATATATATATATATATATATATATATATATATATATATATATATATATATATAATGCCGATTATATATGCTTACTTTTTTTTTTTTAAATCTTGCATTAATTTACATACTGACACACTAAGTTTATAAAAACACTAAACTGCTTTTACTTGTGTTTTTTTTTACTTTCTCTTATATACGAAGTATAGAGAAAGTATTGTAATCGTGCAAAAAAAAAATCGAGATTTTTACAAATCTCGACGTTTTACACCTCACTGATACGGAAAAACATAATTTTGCAATCTTGTCCGTATGTCTGTGTGTGTGTGTGTGTCTGTGTGTCCGTGTGTAAACACGATTACTTGAGTACCGTTACAGCTAGGTGGATGAAATTTCATATATAAGTATTTTATCAAAATCGTAGATCTGTATCAACTTTTGAGCGATTTCCGATAAACGGAAGTGGTACTTTTCCTACTTTGAATTTTTCAAAAGCCTATAACTTGAGTACTATTTCAGATAGATAAATGAAATTTCACATGTAAGTAAAAGATCTAATTCTCTACCTTCTGTTCAATGTTGAGTAATTTCCGTTGACTGGAAGTAGTACTTTACGCTACTTCCGATTTCTCAAAAAACTAATGTAAATTTTAAAAGTACTAATAATATTGCGCACTATTATGCGCTTTTTTATTTGGCGTTCACTTGGTGTGCAATTAATTTGTCTACGAGATTTTATTCTATTTTTAAAACTTTAAGTATTTAAAATAGATTAAAAATCATGTCTATAGCCCGAGTTCCCATCCCCTGTTATTTTATATAAGAATATTCGAGAAAGTTTAGGGGAGATCACTCCCGGTTTATTAATTGCTTGTATTGTTTGCTAGCCATGTGTACCAGTTACACCTGAATTATAGCCCTACAGATTTTAATGTTATTCTTGTTAATTTATAAAATAGTTATGGTCAAAACGAAATGTGCTTTACTAAACGTTGACAACATTAGTGACAATGCAAAAAATAACTAAATAGCTAAACAGCCGACAAATTTCAAATAAAACAGGTTACCAATACCTAATAGAAAAATTAAAACCAAATTATATTCATTATTATTCAAAAGAACAACATATTAAATGCATACACAGATTAAAAGACTTAAATGATTCCGTTAAAAATCCGACTAATTAATGGTCTGTTTGTTGTTTTTTTTAAGTTATTCGTAATAGTTTGAAGGAGAATATATATTTCATAGCGTACGTCTTGATAAGTAGATCTATAGATATAGATCTAAATCAAATTTGAATGAAATAGTTCCTTTCTTTATATTCTAAAATCGGAAGATGACGTCATTAGTGTTGTGTTCTTTCTATAGGGTAAACATGTGGCATGTGAAGTCATTGTTTGTTGCGTTATTGTCACAGCTATAAACACTTTTCCGGTTGTGTAATTAAAATTTAAAATTGTGTTTCTACATTTATTTTTATTTTCCTTCTTTAAATAAAATTTAGTTTATACATTTAAAACATCCACCATATTATTTTCAAAACAGGCTGTATTAAGTTCTCCAGATACCGCTGAAGATACTGATTTCACAGCTTTTGAAAATATTTTACGAACAGAGAGAGAGAGAGAGAGAGATAGAGAGACAGAAGTGCGCACATGGGCTTTTATATATTAGGATATAATTTCTAAATTTCTAAAAGTTTATGTAAAATTTTCTTAAAACTTTATTAAAAACCATGTCTATATCCCAAGCTGCCATCCCCCGTAGTATTATATAAGAATATTCGAAAAAGTTTAGGGGAGATCACTCCCACTTTTTCAGTTTACGGTCACTGATGGATAACTGCAGCAAACAAACTACTAGCGTGTCCTGCGTGGCGGACGTTCAAGAGACCTCTGATGTAGATTTGTTTGAGATGTGAGTACAACTTTATATTTCGGGGGCAGTTTGAATTCCTACAAAATTTTTAAAAATGTTTTTTCATGTGTGTTCAAGTTATAAGTTTTAGAAATTTTAGAAATCTATTAAACAGCGGGCTTCATACACTAGATATATATAATTTTTTTTTATAATTATAGAAGTCAGAAAGTGATGGGACGATGAATGACAGGGAAAATGCATTTCTTTGAATTTTATTACAATAGAAGTTATATCAGGAAGTGGGACGACGATAACTTAGATGCATATATAATCAACATAGCGGTTCTTTTTAAACCGAACATTCATTGGTAAACATGAAGAATTAGTTTCAAATTTTGAGGAACTTTTTCGGTTTCTTAACATTAACTAAATGATCAAGGTAAGCGCCATATGGGAAAACTTTTTGCTCTGGTCACATTGTTGTCTATAAGAGTCGATTTTGAAATAATTAGGCCTACATA